TGGCCCCAGCCCTTCCCTCATAGCATCATCCCCTTCCCCATTCTGTTTAGTACTTTACCTGCTGTCATTTCCGACAGCCATTACACGTGTTGACTTTCCTTTACACGTGACCAGACTGAGTGACGTCACTGAACAACGTGACGAGGCCCAGAAATCACATAGATGATTGAGTGAGAATACTTCAATAAAGCGATTGGAACAGCAGTAAAGAAGCTTGGGGGAAACGATGTTCATCCAGTAAATTCCCTCAGAAAATACAGGAATGCTGAAAAGAATATTCAAATGGGGAACCAGTTAACAAAGGCTTGGGATTCAAGAATCACGGTCAAAATGTTGTGCTCCTAAGAATTAAAGTTCACTCTCAAGAACAAGGGAGGGGTAAGTCACTTAGTCAAATGCAAAATAACAAGAAAAATTGAAAAATTGAGGTACACAAAATTATCCCAGAAGTTGTGCGTGCAGTCTACATAAAACGTATGTGCAAGTTGACGGTCTGATTTGCTTCTAGACGCTGGTTTCTAGAGCGTATCATCATTTGACTTGTTCGGCCAGTTGCTTACGCCATCCTTAATAGAGAACCACAATGAAATTTTTACGTGTGTTGGGCTAGACGGGTTAAACTGAACGAGTTCGCAAAAAGCCGTCCATCCCTGCACTCGCTCGGCTCTGTTGCATTTTCCAAGAACGTGAATTTTACTTGCGGACTTAATTCAGTCAATGAGTAGGAGGCATGGACTGTCAGCGGTCTCTCACCTGTATACCTCTTCCATAAAGTCGAGAGAATTCACTTTTATTATCCCATCCATGGCAGCAGTTATCACAAGCGCTGAATTCTCAGGGTGAAGCAGAATCTTTGTTATGGCCTGAATATGGCGAAGGAAACAAAACATCAGGATCCATGAAAACCTTCATTGTGGCTGGTAATGGCGCTCATGGCGTCTTCAGCACATAACAGACAGAGCACAAAGATGATGTCGAGATGAGAGAAGCTCACCTTGGAATGACCTGAAAACGTGTGTACTTTTCCTCCACTCTTTGCTCTACTCCAAACATTTACTAGGAATCAATTGATATAAACAAAATGAGAAACACTAGGTTCTATATCCAAAAAAAAAAAGTTTGACTTCATTAGCGCATGTTGGTCTTCAGTGTTTCCTGAAGGACGTCATATACTTTTCCCAAACACGTATCACGCGCGTTTTTCTCAAGACTATGTTTTCTTGCTTTTCGCCACGGACGTGTATCAGTTTGGAGCTTACACTCTACAGCTCATTATCATAGGGCAGTTTTGGATTAAGTGCCGTATGTATTGTGGTATTGTATTGGCTTGGCCTCAGAATAAGCACTTATTGGCGCTGCTTTACGAGTATCTTGCACTCTTCTCACCAGACTCGTGGGAGTTGTGCGAGTTATCAGCGTGATAAGACTCCCACTGGCCATCAAAGCAGGGTGGCTCAATCTTCGCTTGTCTCTCTTGCAGCCGTTCTACTGGATGTCACGCAACACCCCTCAATCTTCGCTTGTCTCTCTTGCAGCCGTTCTACTGGATGTCACGCAACACCCCTCAATCTTCGCTTGTCTCTCTTGCAGCCGTTCTACTGGATGTCACGCAACACCCCTCAATCTTCGCTTGTCTCTCTTGCAGCCGTTCTACTGGATGTCACGCAACACCCCTCAATCTTCGCTTGTCTCTCTTGCAGCCGTTCTACTGGATGTCACGCAACACCCCTCAATCTTCGCTTGTCTCTCTTGCAGCCGTTCTACTGGATGTCACGCAACACCCCTCAATCTTCGCTTGTCTCTCTTGCAGCCGTTCTACTGGATGTCACGCAACACCCCTCAATCTTCGCTTGTCTCTCTTGCAGCCGTTCTACTGGATGTCACGCAACACCCCTCAATCTTCGCTTGTCTCTCTTGCAGCCGTTCTACTGGATGTCACGCAACACCCCTCAATCTTCGCTTGTCTCTCTTGCAGCCGTTCTACTGGATGTCACGCAACACCCCTCAATCTTCGCTTGTCTCTCTTGCAGCCGTTCTACTGGATGTCACGCAACACCCCTCAATCTTCGCTTGTCTCTCTTGCAGCCGTTCTACTGGATGTCACGCAACACCCCTCAATCTTCGCTTGTCTCTCTTGCAGCCGTTCTACTGGATGTCACGCAACACCCCTCAATCTTCGCTTGTCTCTCTTGCAGCCGTTCTACTGGATGTCACGCAACACCCCTCAATCTTCGCTTGTCTCTCTTGCAGCCGTTCTACTGGATGTCACGCAACACCCCTCAATCTTCGCTTGTCTCTCTTGCAGCCGTTCTACTGGATGTCACGCAACACCCCTCAATCTTCGCTTGTCTCTCTTGCAGCCGTTCTACTGGATGTCACGCAACACCCCTCAATCTTCGCTTGTCTCTCTTGCAGCCGTTCTACTGGATGTCACGCAACACCCCTCAATCTTCGCTTGTCTCTCTTGCAGCCGTTCTACTGGATGTCACGCAACACCCCTCAATCTTCGCTTGTCTCTCTTGCAGCCGTTCTACTGGATGTCANTAAATTATTAGTGGCACTTGATACTCTGGGATGTCTGTGGTAATGATAAATGGGGTGGCCTGGTCAGGTTTGTGGATGGACAATTTCGGCACAGCCTTTGTAAATATGCTGATTCCAGGTCGAGGCTGATGACCGGTCTGACAAATTTCAAACCATGGATCCTACACAAACTTCAGATTGCGGATCCTTGATGTTTGTTGTAGAGTGTCTGCACTCCATACTCAAAATTTTAAGATGAGTCTGGGCTGGGTCAGCAGCCTTGCATTCCTCCATTAACTCCTTCCCTCCCTTTTACTACAGCATAAACATAGTCATGTCACTCAATTTTGAAATCTTTCCAAAGGTCTTCAGGGGACAACACTCACAAGAAACACTGACCTGCATGGGTTCATCCAGATCAACTTGTTTCACCCAGCTGCCTCCCATGTCAGGATAAGATGCCCTGTGAGCATACAGTGACTAATCAGAAAGTACTCATAGCATTTGGTTTACTTCTCAAGAAGTCTGGATTTTGCGATGCCAAAATGATTCTTTGAGTTTACTTAAAGGAGTAGTCAAGGTGGTTTGTTGGATTTAGTCTCTGAAGACCCTTTTTTATGCACCTTTGATGATTCATTACCTTTACATACACTTGCCTCCTTGCTCAACTGAACACTAAAGTGATAATTAATAATTATTCCACGAGTGCACGTTGGATATGAGATGATAGATAGCCAACAAGGAGCGTAGCGTCGAGTTGGCTGTAATCATCTCATATCCAACAAGCGCGTGTGGAATAATTGTTTTATTAGAAAAGGCCCCAAGAATATATTATTTTGTAATAGTAGTACAAATATGGTAAGCGCAAGCGTCAGCTTAAAATTAAAAGGGAGCTAAAAAATTGAATAAAATTTAACAATTTAATTTAGCGTTTTTAATATAAAACAATAATTCCACTCGCATTTGTTGGATATGAGATGATTATAGCCAACTC